CTAACTCGAACCTTGCGCGAACTCGAACCAAAATCGATTTTCCCTGGATTTCCTTCATACATTTATAATGATAATAATAACAATAATTTATTCATTTATAGTGCGCTTTTTAACATACTAGGTGATCAAAAGCGCATTACAAAAATAAATGACCTAAAAACTATACAAATATTAGAAATATACAAATATATTTAATATCTAAGAGATATTAAAAGCTAATTTAAAAAGATAAGTTTTAAGATTAGACTTAAAAGTAGAGAAGAGCGTTCCATAAAGTGGGCGCAGCCACACTGAAGGATCTGTCACCAAATGACTTTTTCATTTTCCCTGACGGTACTTTAATAAAACACCTTCATTAGAGCGCAGCAAATAGCGCGTATTAGTCTTAGTGTGAATTAAATCAATGATGTAACTGGGTGCCATGCCATAGAGGACTTTGAAAGTAAGTGATAAAATTTTAAAATTAATTCTATATCTTACTGGTAACCAGTGTAAATTTATCAAAATGGGCGTAATATGGTCATACTTTTTACATGACATAAGCAGCCTAGCTGCAACGTTCTGTACTCTGTGTGACTTAGCTATTTCACAGTCCGAAGGTGTCTCCAAGTAAATCTGTGGTACAGTCCGCCTGACAGTGTGACCTCACGTCTCGCGTCAATGACTTTCAAAATGGCGAGCAAAGTGTTCATCGAAGAGTCGGATTAAAATTTCGATTTTATCACGGAAATACTGTTCCGATTTCTTGGTTTTGGAGATTTTAAGGTTCCTATTGTCATAAAAACTAGACTTAAGCACTTTTTTAGAATGAAATGTCCAGTGGTGGAATGAATTTTAAAGATTCCTTTCTATCGTCGAGCAAATTTTACGGGGAATCATACCAGTGCACAGCCAGTTTGAGGAGTCTAGACACAGCAATAGGAGGTTCATGAAAGGATGTATTATACTTTGCATTGTGCGTATTTTCAGCTCTTCAGAGCTAGTGGAACCCCATATCATTCCTCCCAAAGTTCGCTTAGCTGTAGCGTTGAAAGAGGAAGCTAAATGACACTGAGGTATTTGAGAGACTGAGCATTGAATCGTGTCGCTTTACCGCATTTTAATATTGTATTGGGCATACACCTGTAATTCTGTAATTAAATCCCAAAAGCCAATAAAAGGTTTCGTTTAATCATTGTTGGGGGGCAAACCCAGTGGAGATTTTAGGGTAATAATGTTGATGATTACGACGATGTACAAAAGGCAAGTTTAACTTTCGGCAGTGGGTCACTGGTGGGTGTTGAGTGTAAATTAGTACAGTTTGACTGTGTGTTGTTTGTCAAACATTGAAAAAAATTCAGCTGTTTCAGAGGAGGGATGTCTTGACAGCCTATGGTTTTTATCTTGTCGTAAGCTTGGCCAGTATGCAGATCAAGAGCTTTTGAAATCCCTTAGCCAAAATATAGCTCCGGACTTAAGCTTAAAATATATATTGATCCAAGTGCTTGACCAGAAGGGTCAGCAGTAAGAATAAAGAAAAAAATGCCAAAAGGAAAAATAGTGTTAAAAAAAGAGACGAAACAGAGAAAAAAAAAACGGTACAAAGAAACAGAAAACACCGTTGCCGGGAGTCGAACCCGGTTCTGCCGGTTAATCGGCAGTTACAAGCAACTCTTTGACCACTGCACCACAGCGACACGCATGATTTGACACGTTAATTTTGTCATATCAAAACAGCTTTTCTCTGCCATAGACGCTGTTTGAAGCTGGTGGAGCTGTATTTATCATAAATTCAAATACACATTTGAGGAAAATTAGCTTAAGCGCGTATTTCAAAGCTATTTCGCATTATTTCGGGTTCAACGGGCCGACTCGATGTAGATAATCGATCGAACTAGTAGCTTTACCGAATTTGGTGGAGAATTAGGAGATCAACAGAGGCCAACACTCGAATGGAATGATATGAAGTTAGGCCCATTTAATTAGCAAAAGAATAGATGAAATATAAACATGCATTATCTGTGAGTAGAACCTCCTATTCTGGAGACTAGACCTTGCCTATTTCAGAAAAAAAAAATAAAGTTTTGATAACCTTGCCGGTCCCGTGAAATAGATGGCGATCCCGCAACACGGCCCGCAAAACAAATTAACAAAATTATACACTAACGGACACAAAATATCAAAACGGTTTACACAAGCAGATTATAGCAACGCCAAAGCTCACACACATTCGATCAAATTAGCGATATATAGCGATATTTGCTAGCTTCTTAGCTTTTCCTCGACCTCGCTCGTCCAAATAATTGTCGTATCCCTTGCTAATTTGCAGAAGCGACCCGAGGCTCTTGCCGGTTACTATGTGACGTCATACTGGCAGGCGGAGAGGGTCAAGAAACTTAGGTAAAAACAATAGAGTTACCTCCCCCCCCCTGGGTCAAGCGTTTTAGCAAAATCGCGTGGTCCACGGTGTCAAAAGCAGCGCTTAAGTCTACGAGGACAAGTAGTGTAACTCGCTGCGAGT